TATAGATGGTAAGTTTTTCACTATTTTATCTATTTGTGTAGCATTTATTTCAACCCTCAAGAATTTGTTGTTGCACTTAAATAACTTTTTCCATTAAAAATAACATCTTTGTATTTATTTTATAATTTTGTTTTTTTATAACGTTATATGGACAAAACGACATACATAGGCAACGGACATAATGACATACCTGTCATTTAGTCCATAAGAGCTTAGTCAGAGAACTTACCTTAATCTCTTAACGTTTTATTAATTATAAAAAATGGCTTCCAAACAAAATCTTTCATTATTGTTTAAAAGAAATTTTAGTATAAAACTTTATTTCTTTTCTTACATATTATTTACAAACTTATTATATTTCACATAACAAAAAACTTGCAACGAATCACGTGACTCGACAAAACTCTTTAGTTTTAACTTCTACTCCTAATATGAAGGCAATTAAATCAAAAAATGAGTCCAAAGCTGCTCCGCCAGAGAAAAGGAGACGAAACATTACTAAAAAGTTACTTGAAAAAAGAATATTTTCCTGATAACTGTCATGATGATGAAGAAGACTGTCCATGCATACATTGCAATGATCTTTTTTCCGACCTAAGCCTGGAGAAGACTGGTTACGGTGCTTAAATTGAGTCCGTTAGGCTCACGCTTCTTGCGCTGACGTTTCTAAAAGAGCCGAGCGTTTCATTTGTGAACTTTGTCAGTAATTTTATAGTTTTTACGTGTACGTCATTTTGTCCATAGTATATGTCATTTTGTCCATAGTGGATGATCTCGATTAAACTAACAATATTTTTTTCCTATTATTTTAATATTGTAAATGTTTAGTATATTTCATAGGTAACAAACCAAAGATGATTGGTGTAGAATATGACAGCGCTGTGATTTACCAATAAAGAGTTATGAACCAAAAATAAAACCGTATGTCATTTTGTCCGTATTTCCCCTATTTAATTGCGGCTCGCGAAAAATTTCAAATTTTGAAAAATGGCTCAGACTATCAAGGAGCTTGGCCACTCTGGATATATTTGTTGTAGAACACTTTGAGGAAACTTTTGGTAGGCGGCTGATGAACGACTCCCCCGAGAAGGGGATGGAAGGGGATTTTATAAGTTTGTCGTGGGAGAACGGTCATGTGACCAATTGTTGTGAGGTAAAAGGTACGCGGATGGGTCAAAATTGTCTCCGGGGACCATGCTAACTATCAACTTAGCAGTTGGAATGTGGAATTAGTTTCGAAATGAACGGATGTTTATGTCGAACATAAAGAAAAAAATTTTTTTCGTTAGGTTTCACTTTAAGTTAAAGGAAAATTTAATTAGATTTTTAGGCAAATACGGGACAATTAATCGGCAAATAATCGGTAAAAATTCCGGATTTCACACTATCATTTAATAAAAGATATAAATCCTTTTGAAACGTTGCTTTAAATTTTATATCAATTTGTACTTACTGGCATTTATATTGTTGTCGATTTTCTAAACGGTTACATTTCCCATTTTTGCATGGTTTTTCTAGTTCACAAATATCTATATATGACAAAATTTACAAATAACATTAATTTCATTTCAATCGATATAAATTATTTGCTAAATAATTAAATCTCATAATACCTCCGCATTCGAATTCATTTTTATTCTTGTTTCGTACATATCCATCTCTACAGGAACATGTAAAATTTCCAACAGTATTACTGCAGTTCGAATTACTCCCACATTTATTTGCATCAAGGCATTCATCAATATCTGTAAAAATTTAATTATTACGTTCTATGTATTTTTAAAAGTTGGACAGCAAACAAATAGTTTTACCTTCACAAAACTCGTATTCAGTATTATGTAGGTAAAATGTTTTTATTGCTTTAAAGCCTTCATTACAAGAACACTTGTAGCCTGGTTGTTTGCTTATACAAGTATTCGCTACTCCTGGGCAAAAGCTTTCTCTGATTCGATCGTCGCAATTATCAAATTCGACTATTTCGGCTAAAATTGAAAATTCCATTATTAAATAAGTAATATGAAGCTTATTGATGAAATATTAATTAAAATTATACCAGTTTTTAGATAATCTTCTGAAAGGATCAAGTTTGGATGAAGAAAACAATAGTTACTCGTAGCATTTTCAGCTCGATAACACGAGTGGCCTTTATTTATTCTTTCGTAATCTTTAAATTCTTCTTTAAATATTATTATTATATCACATGCAACATCATTATCCTTCGGACTATAAAATAAAATAAAAATTTTAAAAATAAAAAGTAGATGCAACAATAATACTAAAATAGTAACATATATCGGGTAATTCTAAATATATATGAAAAATTTCAATTCCTTTTAAGGCTGAAATTATTCGAAGAATCAGCCGTAAAAGTGCATATGAACATGTGTTCAAAACGACAGTTTTAAAGTTACAGAATCTTTAATGTGTAGTCCTATTGAAAATGTTGACTAATGAAGAAATCGCATTGCCCGCATCCTGTGAAACAATACATCACGCCCTTGTATTTGTGAACACGCGCGCCAATTAACGCTGCGAAGGATAGGCTCCCGTGTTACAGTTGAAGGTGGTCACTTTCAACAGTTATTACAATAATGTCAAACATATGTTCATAAGCACTTTTATGATTAAAATTATTCGAATAATCAGCCCCTAAAATTTTTTCACATATACCGGTATTTATAATCATCCTGATCTTGTTTCAAAAACGAAAGCTAATCACGACAACTTCGTAACCGAAAAAATAGAATCGTCACTTTTATAAAATAAAAATATTATTATTATTCTAAAATACGTCTAAAATATCATACTAGTTTACTTTCATCTCTTAAATACCTTTCTGAATTTCTTAGTTTATGTTGAGCTGTGCTACCACAAATATTTAATATTTAGTTTGGTTCGTAATTAATTAATTTGCGGTCCAATGCCAACGGATATTGGAATTGTGAAAGAATTTCATTTACTTATAATATATATTTTAAATTTCATTTCCAGTATCAACAGTTAAACGATTTATAACTGAATTTCCTTCGATTCCCGTCCATTTTACATTCGAAATTGAAATTATGCTTTTCATTTGTTGACAAATTTCGACTGTTAACAAATTTAAATTGGAAAATTAATCCTTTCGAAAATTTCTTGCTGTGATTGTCTACGGGAAAAAATCAGTTGACTAACGGTTAACTTAAAAACAGTTTAGATAGGCGATTTCCATTTGGTATCTCTAATTTTCAAAGAAGTTTTAAACATTTCCAACACATTTTAAATGAAGTACTATGTATTTATATTTTTTACATATCATATTGGTCCGAGTATTAGTACAGGTATCCCTCGCTCAAATAATAATAAGACTAAATAATTATCTCCATTAAAAAATATATAAGACCATATTTAGTTCCAATGATTATGAATCGGAAGTACTCACGAACAGTATATAAAAGAGAATGTGTTTCCTATGCACATAGATAAAATAAAAAATAGAACAACATCCCTTAGTGATCAAGAAACAGAAATAAATGAAATAATAAAAGCATTCTGAATGAATAGTTACAATAAAAAAAAGCCAAAAAAAAACGGTGGTTACCCAACACAGATCAGAATAAAATAAACATTACCACTACTCCCAAACAATCACAATTTATAAAAATAAAATATTAGAAAGTTTTCAAAAGTAAAAAAAAAAATTTAAAACTATCAAATAACGATAATACCAGAATTGACGAACACTCTAGGTATATTAATTTTGAATAAAAACAAAAAAATTTGCATATTTGGAAAGAAAAAAATATAGTCTATAAATTTAACTGTAGTTTTGCTAATGCATATATGTATGTAGTATTGAATTCAAAATTAAAATAAAACAACACATTGCTGTAATAAAGTGCAATAACGAATCCACAGCAGTTGCAGAATAATGCAATAATAACAATTTTGAAATTGATAAAGATTTCGTCAAAATAATTAAAAAACAAAAATTGGTTTAAAAAACTCTATGAACATGTAGAAATTATAAAGTTAAACAAAACAAAAAATTACTAATAATAAAGGTTTGCAATTACACAGTACTGTACTTCATAACCTATTTTAAACACTAAAGGGAGACATACAATTGAGTGTAAAAACAATGAAAGGGACTGGGGCTGTAAAATGTACTTTGGAGTGGCTGTAGTCTCCATATGAACTATAGAAAGAAAGAAAAAACTGTACTTTAGAACTCGAGATAGCTGAAAGTGAAAAATGTGGTTCTAGTGGTGTTGACTCTGTAGTGGTCTGGTTAAAAAGTTAACGGTTTTTCAAAAATGGATAAGGTAGTCATCATCAAAATGTGTAAGTGAAATTTTTATCTATCTATCTATATATATTATTGTAACGAATAGTATATTCGGCCTCAGGCCGAATACCGAATATTCGGCCAGGAGTGTGGCCGAATAGCCGAATATTCAGCCAAACTATTCGGCTCGATTAGCTCACGTACGAAAATAGGCGCGCAAACCGCATTATGGCAAGGATCCTGCTCTCTATTGGCCCGCTGTCACTACGCTTCGCCAATCGCGTTAATTCTTGCATTTGTAGCGGACAGACAAGAGTGTCACGGAAGTATGTGATAAATGATGATATCAAATGTGGATAACAATGAAATGACCTACACGTGTAAATAACGGAAAAAGAACAGAGAAGGACCGCGAAGTGAAAATGTGAAAATAAATAAGAAATTGAGTTGATAACATAATCGAACAAGTCGAGGCAGCTTATTGGCGCGAAATTCGCGGCCGTGAATGCCAAACAATTGTTGTCATAGACATAGGAAAGCTAAATGCTTGTAATGAAAGGCACTTAGCGTGCTCGAGTGAATAATGCCTGGGGCCGTTCGGGCTATCAAGCTGTCTCGAATCTATGAAATCATAACTGTGACTTATATCGACGTCCTATCTGTCTCTTTTCTCCGTTATCA